AACTCTTCTTAGAACTCTCGTCTAGTTTTTCATCATCCTTCTGAATTAAGTATCCTAACCCCTAAATCTCAAACCCTAAATCCCTAAACCCCAAACCCTACACCCTAAACCCTAAACCCTAAACCTAAAACCCCTAACCCCAAACCCTTAAACCCTAAACCCTAAACCCTGAACCCCTAAACCCTAAACCCTTTAAAGGAACCCAAAGCAAAAATCCAAGCTCTTCTGCTGGCCATGGGCTGGTCTTGGTGTAAGTCAAAGAAGCCCTGAGGGATCCCACCATCTCCTGCTACGTTTAGGGTTTGTGGTTTTAGGGTTTAGGGTTTGTGGGGTTTAGGGTTTACTTTGGGGTTTAGGGTTTTGAGCTTTGGGTTTAGGACATCCCGACATCTCCTGCTACGGCTCTTTTAGGGTTTAGGGCTTAGGGTTGAGGCTGTAGGTTGAGGGTTTTGCGGTTTAGGGTTTAGGGGATCCCAACATGTCCTGCTCGGGTCTAGGGTATGCAAGGGTTACTTTAGGGGTTGCTTTAAGGGATCCTTTAGGGGTACTCTATATGTAACAGGGTTCTTTTCAGGGTTGCAGGGTTTAGGCTGGAGGAGTTGGGACCCTTATAAACCCTAAACCCATGAAACCAGCACCTGTGCGGTCGCTGGGTGTGTCTGTTCTGTCAGACTCTTGGAGGATTTCCTCAAGGATTCCAGGGCTCAATTTCAACTTCTGGCACCGCCACATTTTGGGTGGAAGGTTGACCAGTTCTGTCACTGTGAAATGGATATATTTGCCTGAATCTTTCGGCCAAAACTAATCCTCCAGTTCGACGGACTTTCCGTTGACAACTGCGTAGATGTTCGTCCAATACTGGACTGCAGCGCCTTTGGTTGCTGCTTTGCGATTTCCTCAACTTTCTTGCTGAAGCACGCGCTCCCCGTGCCCCGGGGATCCGCGGAGTCCCGGGATCGGCTCACGAGGCGGCCGATGCCGCTGGCCATCAGGCAGCGGGACTTCAACCCGGGCCAGGTGGTATTGTCCTTATCGAACATGTATTCATCCAAGGTGTAAGTACCATGTTTCGGTTCCAAGTAGCTATACGTAAGCATAGTTGCCTTGTTTGTGAGCATCGTACTGAATCCCGTAATCCAGTCAAGTATACCCCTAAACCCTAAACCTGAAATCCCAGAATCAGAGTAATGCACTACTGAACTCTGCTAAACATATCATAACAAACCAGCCCCAAACGTTAGAACAACGTCATAAAGGCTCTCTACTACCAAAACATGTTAGGGAACCCCGAGCAATCGTATGACCATTTCATCATGCAGGCGCCTCTAGTTCCTAAGCCCTCAACCCTACCTAACATAAGCTCAGAACCTGAATGATTAGAGTAAGGCTTGGGTGTATCTTCTTCATGTACCGTCATGTCAAGAAGGAGCCCAGAGGAATGACATCATATTCCAGGCACCTATGCTACAGGTTTCGGGTTTAGGGTTTTAGGGTTTTAGGGTTTTAGGGTTTTAGGGTTTAGGGTTTAGGGTTTAGAGTTTAGGGTTTTAGGGTTTAGAGCTTAGGACGTAGGGTTTTTAGGGTTTAGGGTTTCGGGTTTAGGGTTTTAGGGTTTAGGGTACATCCTACCCTGCTAAGCCTCCAAACCTGAAGCCCATCAACCCCTGAGCTCTACACCCCTAAACCCTATCTTTACCTACCCAAGGGCCCCTTAAAGGGGACCCGAGTATAGTACCCTATACCACCCTTAAGGGGGACCCTATACTACCTATATAAGGGAACTGTAAGGGTTCCTTTAAGGTTAAAGGCACCCCACTGAAGGGCCTAAACCCTAAACCCTAAACCCTAGAGAACCCTGAACCCTAGAAAACCCTAAACAACCCTAAACCCTAAAGAACCCAGAACCCTAGAAAACCCCAAACCCAAAAGAACCCTGAACCCTAGGGAACCCTAAACCTTAGAGAACCCTAAACCCTAGAGAACCCTGAACCCTAGAAAACGCTGAACCCTAGAGAACCCTGAACCCTAAAGAACCCTGAATCCTAGGGAACCCTAAACCCCCTAGAGAACCCTGAACCCTAGAGAACCCTAAACCCTAAACCCTAGAGAACCCTGAACCCTAGAGAACCCTAAACCCTAAGGTGTGCACAGATCCAGAGCTCCTCGCGACTCTTGTAGAGGATCACCTCCTGTGCCTCTACGTCGTGGTGGAAAGGTGTCTAATCACATATAACGGTCAAATCTATAGGGTTTAGGGAGGGTTGAACAAGGTTACTATCGGATTCGGCATAGTATATTCTTAGCTACTTCGCCCGTACAGAGGTAGCATTTCTAGGTACTTTATTACTTTGAGTCTCTGAAGATACAAGGAATGGGGTCTTTTATTGTTCAGGGTTTTTAACGGTTAAGGTTTAGGCATACGGGTTACTTAAAGGATCATGGGACTTAAAGGTAACTGTACTTATAATTATTTATAACCCCACTTAAGGGACTTATAACCTTACTTACTGAGTCCCATGATCCTCCAAGTCGTTATATAACCTAGATCGAGTCCTACAAGGAGGTTCCCAGTGCTCAAGTACAGGGGGTTTAGTCCGAAGCCCCATACTCAGAATGGCTTTTTGTACCTGATATAGGGGCCTTAATAATCAAAATAGGAAGGGATCTTTAAAGGGTCATATAAGGGAACATCTTTTTTTAAACCTGAAAACCTTTTTTTCAGACCTGGCATCTTTTTTTGACCTGGGTGATCTGATTTTTGACCTTGGTGATCTGATTGCTGACCCGACCGTCTGAATTCCCTGAAGCCCGTGGTTTTTTCTGATTTGGAGCCATGAAAACCGACCCTGGTGAACCCCTACAGGCCTCCGGCTCTGAAGGCTCCTTCTGCATAGCTTCCAAGAAGTCACCCATTCTCATCAGATTGTTGTCGAAAGCCGTGGCACTCTTGCCCGCACCCGTCGCCATGGATTGGGCCATCGCAAGCAAGTCCATGTCACCGGCCGCAAAGTTGTTGCGCTCTGACATGACACGGTTGAGCAAAGCCTCTCTCTCGGCGTCCGACACCTTAGAACGAGCCTTCTCCGCCGACACCAGCTGCTCTAAGCGGGAATACTTGTTCTGGAAGTGGACATGGTCGTCCCCCTCCAGCCTGATGCGGTCCTTGCCACTCTTGCGGTCTTTGATGGTGACACTATAGTAGCAAGATCTGAAACTTTGCTACGGCTGCTTTGGCATTCAGCCCTCCATTTGCAGGCTTGGCCATTTCACCCACAAACCTATCCTCATCAACCATTATTCCGTCACTGTCATGCAGCACTGCACTTTCCGTTTGGATCATCTCACGATACTGCGTGACGAAACGATTGACCGCGGTCTTCTTTGTTTTCCAATCTGGGAATCTCGTCTTGAAGCAGTTGCAGATCTTGATGCTGCCTTCGAGAGTGCTGAGTTGATCAGCCAGCCACTCCGTCTGATCTCCCGCTCTATAAGGGCTGCTATAAAGGTTTAGGGTTTAGGGGCCTTAATAATTTTGATAGGGTTTTTGAGGCCCATGCTACTGTGATTATACAAACCAACCCCCCAAAATAGTATTGGTAGTTATTTAGGCCCCGACATCAAACCGCCAGAAACTTGGTGACTGGGTTTAGGGTTTAGGGTTTACGACTCATTTGAGGCTCTGTCCTCTAGGGACTCGAGGGTTTAGATCTCACAGAGGTCTGACGCGTACTTGAATCAACAAAGTATCTGTCTGGGCTATCAGGATTCTGTTGCGATGTTACAGATATTCCTTAAATAAGTGCTAAAATCAGGTCTGCAACCGCAGACACGAGAACCTGCAACCCTGAGCCCCACATCATTGAACTTGAACCTTAAAGCAAAAACATTCTTACAGAATCCTCATGAAGCCCTATAGAACCCCACTTAGAACTCTACACCCTGTTTCAAGCAGGAACACACCAAAAACCGACATATCCGAGGCTCCTTGAGCCCAAAACCTTCACCCCCAAAAACCGAAAAGCGCACATCACGAAAACCTGCCAGAAAAAAACAAAAACACCGAAAGCCCTAGACAATGAGATCCGAACCTTCGAAAAACAATCCTCCCAACCCTAAACCCTAAA